CCTGAGGAAATTAGGAGCATGGCAGGTGGAGAGAGGAAGTTAGGAGGGAGAGGAGGGTAGATAGAGGTGGGCATGAGGGATCAGGAGGATTGAGTCAGGGAAAGAATGTTGGAGAGCAAGAGATACCATAATAGAACAAGCCATTATAGGTTCTAAGAGAAATCTGGCACTAAGGAAACGCCTAGAAATCTACAAGGATGAACCCAGCTAACAATCTAAGCAATAGTGGAGAGGCTACCTTAAATGAGTTTGATTACTACCTTATATGCCATCCTAGAGCCTTCTTCTCGTACCTGATGGAAGCGGAGCAGACACCCACAGCTAAACACTGATCCGAACTCCTGGAATCCAGTTTCACAAAGGCAGGATTGATGAGCCTGGGTCATGACCAGGCTAGAGAAACCCACAGAAACTGCTGACCTGAACAATTAGGGAGGTCATAAACTCCAGTCTGACAGCTGGGAAACCAGCATAGGACTGACACAGACTCCCTGAATGTGAGTGTTAGTTAGGAGGACAGGGAAGTCTTTGGGGCCTCTTGTAGTAGATCAGTATTTATCCCTAGTATAGGAATGGACTTTTTGAGCCCATTCCACATTGAGGGATACTCCCTCAGCCTACACACATGGGCAAGGGTCTAAGCCCTGCTCCAAATGATATGACAGACTTTGAAGGGAAGCAGAAAGGTGATGAGATGGAGGTTGCTCAGGGAACAAGGGAAGGATGGGTGGGTGCAGGAACTGACATTGACATGTAAAACAAGCTTTTTTCCAATTTAAATACAAAAATTAAAAAAGAAAGTTTAAGGATAAAAATGAAAAAAGAAAAAAAGAATTGTAGCCACATATGACGGTTAGTTGCTTCCCTACTTTGGGAAGCTTGCTTGTCAAGTTCTGATACTATGAATGCTAGTCAGGAGGAGGTATTCAGATCAATTCCAGCTCAATTGCCTCTGGGCTCTTTTTCAGAAGTGTGTGAGTTTTCAGCAAAAGGATTTGTCTTCTGGCTCTAAGTTGGGATAGTGGCAACCAAAGATAAAAACCTTAGGCTAAATATTTTAGGAATCCCTTGGAAAACTCTAACAAACAACTCAAAAGAAGGTAAATGTACTAAATTTTCTAAATTTGTAGGTGAAAATTGAGGTTTGCATGGAGCATTTAGGCAAAGATGAGAAAATTGTTTTACCTATACATGTGAATTTATGCAAGAAGATACATGTGTTTCACTTCCCTTTTTGGATACATAATAAGGTATATAATTCCTTATGATTCTTTCAGACATCATTAGTTTGTTAAGCCCCATTCCTCTGTTTTGTGTTTACTTCCTTCATCTCTCAGTAAAGAAGCATTCTTTTGCCTTTTCCAAATTCAGCCCCTGTGTGTACTGCCTGTACATTCTCTATTGCTTCCCAATCCCCATATACCAGCAGTGGTCCATTCACACTTTTCTGATTTTTGCATTTATTCTGTTGTATGTAGGTACATATGACTATTTGGAGCTGAGAACTTCATATGAGAAAACATGACACTTTTCTTTCTCAATCTAATTTATTCCCCTGGAGATGATTTTTTTCTAGTTCTATCCATGTATCTGTAGAGTTCATAATTTCAGTTTTATTTACAGCTGGAGAGTATTCCTTTCTGTATATTGGCCATGGTTGAAATATGCACTTGGTAATTGAAGGACATATAAGTTGTTTCCATTTCATAGCTATTGTAAGCATCTGTGGAATAGGATGTCAAATTCTTTGGGCAAATGCCAAGAATCTGAGTGAAAAGCTAGATTTATTTTTATGTTTTTGAGATTTCACCACACTGATTTCCATAGTGTCTGAACCAGTTTTCAATTCTAACAGTATTAAAAATAAGGGTTTTCTTTCCACACATCAATTTTAGCATTTACCATCAGTAGCTGTATTGGTCTTTACCATTCTGACAAGCATAAGGTGAAATCTTGAAGTTGCTTTCATTTGCACTTCCCTAATTTCTAAGAATGAAAAACATTTTGAGACACTTCTTAACTACTTTTATTTTTCTTTTGAGTACTCACTTTTTTGTACCAGCTCCATTTTTAATAGGTCCTCTTTTTTGGCTCTTCTTATTAGAATCCTTTGGCTATTAACCCCTTCTCAGATGTGTTGCTGGCAAAGATTTTCTACCATTCTGTGGACTTCCACTTATTTATTATTTCTTTAGCTGTCCAGTATAATTTTAGTTTCAGAAAATACCACTTGCCAATTGTTGACCTTAATTTGTGGGCAATTGTAATCCTACACTTATGTCATCTAACTTACAGCTTATGTTTACTTCAAGCAATTTCAGGTTTAGGTCTTTGATCATTTTGAAGTTCATTTTCATGTATGGTGATAGATAAGGTCTAATTTCATTCTTCTGAGGGTTAACATCCAGTTATGCCATCACCATTTCATGGAAATGCATTCTTTCCTCCATTGTATGTATTTTAAATGGCTGAATTTATGTGTATTCGTGATTGAGTCAATTGCCTTTTACTGGCCTTTATGACTGTTTTTGTGCCAGTACCACATTGTTTTTATATTTGCAGATCTGTTTTGTATGTTGAGAATGATAATCTCTCAATTATTATAAATTATATCAATCATTATAAATTGAATTCAGGATTTCTTTGGCTATCTGGAGGAAATGCATCATTAAACTTTCTTCTTCAGGGAATAAAAATGGGCATATATGTAGAGACTACCTAAAAGGTAATACTACAAAAAACACACCGAAGTGTATATACGGATGTAGATAAGTGAAAGTGTATTTCACTAACAAGCAAAATTAGATGAACTCTACCTGGACAACACACACACACACACACACACACACACACACACACACACACAAACTGCAAGTGTCACCATCATAAAAATAGTCCTTACACAAGTTATGTATTGTGATCATGCATATAACCTCAGCTCTGGAAGTCTGAGAAAGGGTTGTTTAATGTCTGAGATCAATGTCAACAACATATAAATCTGGAAAAAATTTAATTTGTATTGTAAAAACCTGTCCAATATAAACAAACATACAAACAAAAATAACAAAGCAAAAAAAAAAATCAATGACAGAAACAATGTGACAGACTTTTCTAGCTTAAAACAAACAGAGACCAATGTGATTCCAAGGATTCAAATTTTATCATATTCAATATCTGTCAAACATATTTTAAGATAGACCAAAGTAAGTGCAAACATGAATGAATAGATACAACTTATGCTGTGTGTTTTCCTTTGTGTTCATGGCATGAAATCCTGTTTTTTAAAAACCCACTTACTAGAGAAAGGATTTATTTGCCTCACATTTCCAGGTCAAGATCCGTCAATCTGGACAAGTCAAGATGGCAAGAACATGAAGTAACTAGACACATGACATCCACAGTCCAGAAGAGGGAGCAATGAATTAATGCATTCCTTTCAGCACTCAGATGCACCTCTATACTCACATGCAGCTCATAATCCCCTTCCTGGAGAATTGTGCTACCCACACTGGTTAGGTCTTCCTACTTCACTTAATATATCAAGATAATTCCTCACAGGTAGGCCTACAGACCAATCTAATCTAGATGAAGTAGAAACAAAGAAAACAATACAAAGAATTAATGAAACAGAGAGTCGGTTCTTTGAAAAACAACAACAACAACAACAAAATAGACAAACTTTCATCCAAACTAACCAAAAGGCATAGAAAGATTATACAAATTAACAAAATCAGAAAGGAAAAGGAGACCATAAAAATGGATACTGAGGAAATCCAGAGAGTCTTTAGGTTATACATTGAAAATGTGTACTCCACAAGATTCAAAATTTCAAAGGAAATGGACAATTCAATTTTATGGTATCACTTACCAAAATTAAATCAAGAACAGATAAGCAATATAAATAAACCTATATACCCTAATGAAGGAGAAGCAGTCATCAAGTCTCCCAACCAAAAAAAGCCCATGGCCAGATGGTTCCAATACAGAATTCTCCCAGAAATTCAAGGAACAGCTAATATTGATACTCCACAAATTGTTCCACATAATGAAAGCAGAAGGGTCATTGCCAAACTCTTTTTATGAGGCTACACTTACCTTGGTACCCAAGCCACACAAAGATACAACTAAGAAAGAGAACTAAAGACCAATATCCCTCATGGATACTGATGCTAAAATGACGAAACACTTGCAAATTGAATCCAAGAACAAATTAGAAAAATCATACACCATGATCAAGTAGGCTTCATGCTGTAGATGCAGGGATGTTTCAACATATGAAAATCCATCAATGCAATCCACCATATAAACAAACTTAAAAGGAAAAAAAAACATGATAATTTCACTAGATGCTGAAAAAGCCTTTGATAAAATCCTTCATGATAAAGGTCTTGGAGAGATCAGGCAATACAGGAACATACCTAACATACCTAAATAAAATAAATACAGTATGCAGTAATCCAACAGCCAATATCAATCTCAATGGAGTGAAACTCAATGCAATTCCCCTATAATCAGGAACAAAACAAGGCTGTCCAATCTCTCCATATCTCTTCAATATTGTACTTGAAGTTATAACTAGATTCCTTCCCGTGGTTTCTCAACATTAACACATACCTGGAAGTGTCATAGAACAGACAGAAAAAAATCATAGCACGGTAAATTGTTCACTTTCTACTTTAAGCCTTGGATACATAGACCAAGGTGAGAGGTTACTGTACTGTAACTTGAGGGACACTCATTTCAATAAGTACTAGATTTATTGGTTATTTACTTTTGTTAACAGTAAATAAAACACGGATTAGATAATACCAAATGGACTATATTTTATTCTTTGAAAGGCCATGTCCAGCAATGAAGTATTGAAACCATAAATAAAAGACAGAGAAGATAAGAGGCCAACACAGTTTTGAATTCTTTAAAAATTTATGTAGACACATGAAGAATATTGCTATCATTCCAGGTAACTTTGGATTTTGAATGTTATGTTAGGTGGAAATTTACTGTTAATTTTTAGAACGTGCTGGCTTGCCTGTGGGAATATTTGAAGAAAGCAAAATTGTGCCACTTAATAGAAACAAAATTGCAGCTATAACTGCCAAGGCCATAGCACTTCCAATTTCCTGAGTGTCTGGGTGGGAAGGCATATGGAAAGATGGTGGGAATGCTATTTCCTCCTGGATTATGATGGATACATAATTAAAAAATACAGCAAGGCAAACAAAGCTGCTAGCAATGATGTTCAGAATCCCAGAGAGACCGAATGGATTATAGGAGGAATTTTTATGCACTCTTCCCACGCATACGTTCCAAAGAGAAATAATGGTGGTAATTTTCCCAACTAACCCAAGAAAGCTAGAAACCAGTAGCAGTTGTTGGGCCACTCGGATATCCAAAGGAATGAAGGTGTCTTGGTAGTTGTATCGGTGACATATTCTGATATCGCTGAAGCTGTCATCATGGTGGAAAACACAGACTCTCCACATGCCCACAAATGCTGTGGTAGGCTTAGAGGCAATAGGGTCTTGAAAGCGCCACACTCGCCACTGAGGTAGGCCCATGGAGATGCAGCAAATTATCCATGCCACTGTGGTCAAAGCAAAACCCCCCATTTGGCGATTGCAACGTTTTTTGATCATAATGATGGTGACAGCAGATAATCAGCAACTGAAAAGAAATATAGGACAGGATAAGGATAGGTTCTCAGAACTTGGACAGTGTACTCAGGGGGATGGTTATTTGAGAAAGGGCCCTTTGCCCTGGAGATCTCCCACTAGGAATGTGGTCTAAGCAAACAGAGAAGGCCCCTGTGGCAATATGTCCAGGCAGGTTGATAATCCACCAATCCTCTTAAAACTTGCACTTGGTCTAGTCACAATGGCATTTGGTCAAAATTATCTAGTCATCACAATGGTCATCACAGTATAAGTCAGTCGGCAAATGGAAGATTGCTTGAAATTTAAGAACTCAATAAAATGATTCATGCTATATCTACTCTTTGCAAATATATGCCAACAGTAAGGATGCAAAGTGGCATTATAAAGATGTTTGGGGCTCACCCTTTTCACCTGGTATAATTTTTTGAGATACGATATATTCTACATTGCTGACTACCCTGGAACTGTGCCCTAAACCTGGCACTGAGCTCCTGGAAATCCTGCTGAATTTCTATCCAAAGGACTACTATTAGAGACATGAGTCTTGACACCGATGTTTTGAAGGACCACCAATGGTTAGCATGTGAGAAAGTTTGTCCTCTTTCATACTGACTAGTATCCCAGCAAAGTTAAGTGTCAGACTGCCTGTTCATTCACTTGTCTTGGACATTTGGATTAGTCTTAAAGCTTTGCCTGTTAGAAACATTATCATATGAATCAGAATGCATATATGAGACTTTGTATTCATTCATTGTGTTGTCACTTCTGTTGAGTATATACTAAGGCATTCAACTTGGGGAAGATAGGTGTCAAGTTCATACAATTTGTGTTGTAGAATTTACAAAACTGTTTCACATCAGTTGGATGAATTTTACATACCCACTAGAAAATACGGAATTTTTCAGCTTCTTTATAACTTCCTTCTCATTGGCTGTGTACAATACACCAACACATCAATACTGAAAGACAGTAAATGAATGAAAACTCGTAAAATAATAGAAAATTAACTTAAATATATTCAATATTATCTTAAAGCAACCCATTTCATTGTAATACTTGAAATATGTGAAATATGTGAAAACTTGTGAACATGGATCATGCTCACCCTTAGGCAATTGTACAACACATAAGTACATTCATAGATTTATGTTTAGTTTTGATAGTCTAATTGAAAAAAATATAAGAATGACCGTAGAAGGGCCTCTCAGTGAGGAATCATCTAGATTAGATTGGTCTGTAGGCCTACCTGTGAGGAATTATCTTGATAATATTAAGTGAAGTAGGAAGACCTAACCAGTGTGGGTAGCACAATTCTCCAGGAAGGGGATTATGAGCTGCATGTGAGTATAGAGGTGCATCTGAGTGCTGAAAGGAATGCATTAATTCATTGCTCCCTCTTCTGGACTGTGGATGTCATGTGTCTAGTTACTTCATGTTCTTGCCATCTTGACTTGTCCAGATTGACGGATCTTGACCTGGAAATGTGAGGCAAATAAATCCTTTCTCTAGTAAGTGGGTTTTTAAAAAACAGGATTTCATGCCATGAACACAAAGGAAAACACACAGCATAAGTTGTATCTATTCATTCATGTTTGCACTTACTTTGGTCTATCTTAAAATATGTTTGACAGATATTGAATATGATAAAATTTGAATCCTTGGAATCACATTGGTCTCTGTTTGTTTTAAGCTAGAAAAGTCTGTCACATTGTTTCTGTCATTGATTTTTTTTTTTTGCTTTGCTATTTTTGTTTGTATGTTTGTTTATATTGGACAGGTTTTTACAATACAAACTAAATTTTTTCCAGATTTATATGTTGTTGACATTGATCTCAGACATTAAACAACCCTTTCTCAGACTTCCAGAGCTGAGGTTATATGCATGATCACAATACATAACTTGTGTAAGGACTATTTTTATGATGGTGACACTTGCAGTTTGTGTGTGTGTGTGTGTGTGTGTGTGTGTGTGTGTGTTGTCCAGGTAGAGTTCATCTAATTTTGCTTATTAGTGAAATACACTTTCACTTATCTACATCCGTATATACACTTCGGTGTGTTTTTTGTAGTATTACCTTTTAGGTAGTCTCTACATATATGCCCATTTTTATTCCCTGAAGAAGAAAGTTTAATGATGCATTTCAAGGTATGCTAAAAACTACTCAGTTCATTAAAGTCCAGTATCCACTGAATTAGTAAAATGTAAGTACTAGAAACAAAGTTGTTAAAACATCTCCACTTTCATTCATCAAGAAGCAGCATTTTCAAGGAAATATTGGTTTAGCTTTTAATTATCTTTTGTTAATTTCAATATATTGCCCTTGTTGCATGGTTTCTGGGTTTTACTTACTGAAGATTGTCTCTTCCCTAGTCAATATGGGCATATATAAACAGATATGTCATTAGTGAGCAAAAGATAAAAAGATGAAAACACATATGAGCAAGCATTCTTTCAGGACATATCTGAAAAGTTTCTGCATCCTGAAAAGCCTCTCCACAAATGCAGCAATCCAAATCAGAACAAATCAAACAGAATTAGAAAAAGCCCACATTTAATTGGTAAAATGTTCTTGCAAAAAACAAAAAAAAAAAAGATGGGGAAGAAAGATCAAAAAAAAATATTGTCAGTTTTCTGTGGGGTAAGTTTAAACACCCCGAGGGAGTGGTTCTGAGCCTCTCAGGGGGAGGGGTCAATTCTTTGTGGGCTTTCTAAGGTGAGTAGCCTCTGTTTGTCGGGCTCTCCAAGGGTATCAGGGCCTGGGAAGAAGAGAGAGAGAGAGAGAGAGAGAGAGAAATGAGGTTTCTGCCTAATCACCCCATACTCTTTGGGTATATGGATGCCATAGGCTCAGGTAGAGCTTTCATCAGAACAATTTCCCCTAAACTTAATAAAAAGGAAAATTGCAAATGTTAGAAATGGGGAGATTAAATATCAGCCGTTGATTGAGACCTGGTCTGATATGAAAGCCCAACATGAACAGGCTTGGTTAGAGCCAGGTAAATGGTACATATAGGTTGAGGTAAACAGAGTTAAACAAGAGAAGTTATACTAATCTGTCCTTGCAAAACTTTAAAGAGGGTGTATAGAGTCTTAGCTCTGATCATGGTATTTCTTCATATCAATAGAACGATAACTAAGATGGAAGTTGGAATCAGGAATAGGCCAATGTGACAGGCTTATCCCATCTGCTTATCAGTAGAATGTAAAAGACTTTGGGACTTTGCCCAAGAAAATCAGTTGAAATTTTTATAGGGTTTAATGGATGATCCTGGCAAGAGCTTCAATGAGAGCAGATCTGAGAGCAATGTAAGCCCAGCATAAGAGGTTTCGGGGGAAGAATATTTTGTTCTGTCCTAGAGACCATTCCTGAAATAGATTGAGAAACAATGTAGCTGACTTTTGCCCTTGTACAAAAAGTATGTCTGGAGTAAATGGAAGAATTTTAGATTAATGTTGTTAGAAGAAGAGATTTCCAGACAGCTTAGTATTGACTGACATGTGTTTATTAGTGATCATTCCTATGTAGATCTCAAATGAAAAGGTGGCAACAGAACAAAGAGAAATACAAAATGTATGGTTTGAGTAGAAAAGGAGTATCAAGAAATGAAATGTTGGGAGCCTCCTGAGGACTGGGGACTGTATGTGTGGGGGAGCCGATCACTGCTGACCAGAGTCTGCCTGTATCCTAGTCCCACCTCCAAACATGGGAGGAGGTGAGCTTGGGCCTGTTTCCAGCCTACCTTTAGGGGCCATACTTAGAGCCTCCTGAGGTCTAGGGCCTGTGGGCACATGGGAGAGCCCTTCCAGATGGACCATTTTGTCCACAGCCTGCCAGCATCCTGGAACTGCCTTCACCCATGGCAGGAGCCTGCCTTCCAATGCCCAGGTGAGAACCTCCTGAGGACAGTGGACTATGCATGGGCTAACGATTCCCAGTGGACAAGCCCTTCCAGAGTCTTCCAATGCCCTAGTCCTGCCACCACCCACTGGAAGAGGAGATCCCTTAGAGTATTGAATCTTCTTGCACCCTCTAGAAGAGAACCTTGTTCCCATACCCACCAGGAGATGGAGAGACCCCACTGGCACCCACTGGAAGAAGGGCTGGGTAGACAACAGTATAAAAACATAGTCAAAAGCAGAAAGAACAATATGGCACCATCTGAGTCTAGGAACTCAACACCAGCAAGACCTGAGCTTACCCACACAGATGAAGTGGGAGAGAATGACCTAAAAATAACTTCATGAAGAAGATAGAGTCCCTAAAAGAGGAAATGAGAAAATCCTTTAAAGAAATGGAAGAAAATACAAACCAAAAATTGCAAGAAACAATTCAAACAGTGCAAAGTTTGAAAGTTTAAATAAATAAATAAATTAATAATAATAATAATAATAATAATAATAATAATACATATGATAATACATATTCTGAGGAAATGGTGGAAATAGAAAAGCTGGGTAAATGAACAGGAACTTCAGATGTAAGCATAACCAACAGAATATAAGACATGGAAGAGAGAATCTCAGGAGTTGAAGATACACTAGGAGAAATAGATTCATTGAAAAAAGAATATCTTATGTCCAACAAGTCCCTAATACAAAATATCCAGGAAATATGGAATGCTGTGCAAAGGTCAAACCTAACAATAATAGGTATAAAAGAAGGTAAAGAAACCCAACTCAAATTGCAGTAAATATATTAAAACAAGTAATAGAAGAAAACTTCCCCAACCTAAAGAAAGACATGTCAATAAAAGTACAAGAAGCTTACAGAACACTGAATAGAGTGAACCACAAAAATGTCCCCCTGCAACATAATAATCAAAATACAAAACATACAGAATAAAGAAAGAATATTAAGAGTAGCAAAGGAAAAATGCCAAGCAACATATAAAGGCAAAGCTGTCAGAATTACTCTTGGCTTCTCCATGGAAACTCTAAAGGACAGAAGGTCCTGGATAGGCATTCTACCAACACTGAGAGACCATGGATGCCAGCACAGAATACTATACCCAGCAAAGCTTTCAATCAGTATAGATGGAGAAAACAAGATATTCCACAACATAAACAGGTTTAAACAATACTTGTCAACTAATCCAGCCCTACAGAAAGTTCTGGAAGGAAATCTCCAATCCAAGTAAGTCAACTACACCCCCCCAAAAAAAACCATAGGCAATAGATAATCCCACTTTACCAACAGCCATAATAAATAAATAAATAAATAAATAAATAAATAAATAAAAATAAATGGTGGAAATCCACATGCAATACCACCACCACCAACAAATCCAAAACAAACAAGAATTAAAAATGGTCATTAATATCCCTCAATATTAATGGTCTTAACTAGTTTATAAAAAGACACAGACTAAAAGAATGAAAACAAAGACACAAAGACAGAATCTATCCTCCTGCATACAAGAAAAACACCTCAACTTCAAAGACATACATTACCTGAGTTAAGAGTAGGGAAAAGATTTTCCAATCAAATGGACCCAATAAACAAGCAGGTCTAGCTATCCTAATATCTACCAAAATTGACTTTAAACTAATATCAATCAAAAGATATGAAGACAGTACTTTCTTATTCATTATGGGAGAATTCCGTCAAGATGAAGTCTAAATTCTGAACATCTATGCCCCAATACAAAGGCACCCACAATTGTAAAGGAAACATGTGTAATTTGAGTTTTAGTAATAAAACCCCACATACTTATGGTGGAACATTTCAACACCCCACTTTCAACACTAGACAAGTCTACAAGACAGAAAATTAACAAAGAAACAAAGGACCTAACAGAAGTCATGACCCAATTGGGTTTAACAGACTTTTATAGAACATTCCTTCCAAACACAAAAGAATATACCTTCTTCTCAGCACCATATGGAACCTGCTCTAAAAGTGACCACATAATTGGCAATATAACAAACCACATAGGCATAAAAAAATTGGGATAAGCC